AGAACATTGCTCAATATTTCTGTCTTATTTCACTATTCCTAGTTTTATTTTCTAGTATTATTAAGTGATTGAATGAACACATAATATTGGATAACAATACTGTTTTTAATATGAAGGTTTAAGGGAGTGAAAGGTAACAACCTGCATGGTGATGAGTATGTTTTCCATGATAACGGAACCTTGGAAATTCCGGTGGCACAGAAAGATAGCACGGGCACGTATACATGTATAGCAAGCAATAAATTAGGAAAGGAAGAAAATGAGGTCCAGCTAGAAGTTAAAGGTAAGAAATCAGTCATTTTGTAGAGCATTCTAATCACAGTTAACCCCAGAATTTCAAACTTATTAAATGTCTAATAGCAACTTCTAAATTTCAGATCCAACAATGATTATTAAACAACCTGAATACAAAATCATTCAGAGGTCTGGTCAAGTTTACTTTGAGTGTACAATTAAACATGATTCTACCTTACTACCAACAGTCACATGGTTGAAGGACAATAGTGAATTGCCAGACGATGAAAGGTATACATAAATTATTTATTCCTTTTTTCTTTTAATGAATTTTTAGTTGTTTTTTCTCCCATTCTTTTAAAATGCACAGGACCACTTAATATCAAGAGCAGGTTAATGTTTGGTTTTGCCTAGCAATGTATCCTGGTTCAGTGGCAAAGTCAAGACAGAAGTTCAAAGTAAGATAATATATAAACCAGGGGTTTCAAACTCATGCAGCCCTCCAAACAGATCCAGACCATGGGGCTCTTCACAGACCAGATCAAGATGTCGTAGTGGGGTGAGTGGCATCAAGACACCATCAGGAGTTAATACAGCATCATCTACCGCTAGTGTCACCACCATGCATCCCCAGTAGGGCTCAATATGCTGGATTATGGCAGCAGGCCCCATCTCTGCTCACCCTGTCCCCAAATTCCTAGCCCACGGAGGAGCCCACAATACAGATATTTGACACTCCTGATCTAAACAAATAGGAAAAAAGGGATAGATAACAATCAGCAAAGCAGAAGATATGAAATGTAGGTAATTGAGAAGGGAAGCTAAAGACGCAAAGGAAAAAACATAGCTAAAACTACTGCTAATAAGTAGTAGTTTAAGTATATTAGGGAAGAAATAAGTGCTATAACTGGCAAAATAATTTTATGAGCTAGAGATGGTTACATGTTGATAACAACAAGGAAAGATAAGTGTCCAGTAATTATTCTGTATTTGAAAGGATGTGCATGTATCATATGAAGATGAGAAATTTTATTTTCATTCCATTAGTAACTGAGAAGGATGTTAGATAAAGTCTACTAAGAATAAACATTTTTATTGAAATCAGCAGACCCAAGTATCTTCAACTAAAGACTCCTAAATAAGCTAACTGAGGAGATGTCTGGCTTTCTCATATTACTTTTTAATAAATTTTGGAATGCTGGGGAATGCCTAGAGGATTGGGTAGGTACTAGTGTTATGCCAGTATTCAAAGAAGGCAAGTGGGATGACTGGGGTTGAGTTTGGTTAGCTCAAAATCACTCATGGGCAAATTAATGGAAAAGCCATTATGGTCTACAGCTAATACCAAAGTAAAGAATAGGAACAAAATTAATGACTGTCAACACCCCTTTATGCAAAAATAAGCCTTGTCAAACAAACTTGATTTCCTTCTTTAATACTATAACAAGTTATGTCCATTAAAGTAACCATGCAGGTATAAGATTTTTGTAAGGCAATTGACTGCATATCACATAACATTATGATTAACAAATAGTGCTGTGTGACGTTGACAAAAACCATGCTGAATGGATTAGGAATTAGCTAAATGAAAGGTGTCTCAATGCGGTTTTGAGTAGGGACCTCCCCAAATCAAGGAGTCAGAGAGCCAATTTCATGGGCTGATCACAGGGCTGGCTGCCATTTCCATGGACTTATCACAATGGGGCCCCACCATACCTCTAATTGGTCAAGGGGCCTTGGTGACCCTGCTTCTTGCCGCTGATTGAGGGCTGTCTGTCGTACCACTCCTCCCCTTGCTGCTGATTGGCTGAAAGAGCTGGCTGTTATGTGGCCCCACTCCTTGCCATGATTGGTGGAGAGGGGCAGGGCTACACAACAGACAGCACTCTCAGCCAATCAGGGGTAGCAGCAGCTACCATCTTGACTGCTCCCCTTCATGCCAGCAGCCCCTGTCTTGGCCCCCAGTGGGCTGTGCAGCTGAGCTGTAGGGGCCTTGAGGACCCCTGGCTCCCACTGGGGGACCAGCATTTTATTTTTAGTAAGTTGTTGCTTTTTGTTAACGGATTTTGTGGATATTTTCTGATTTCATGGACAATACCTGATTTTGTGAATTGAGTAATTCCCTAGTTATGAAGGATCATCACTGAATAATGTCCCTGGAAGGTGACCAGGCTCAGTTGGGCTGCTAAAACTATAATGAGCAGGGAATGTCAAGCCCTTGAAAACAGCATGTGGAAGATGGTAAGTCAAGTCACACATCTTCTGGAGAGAGAGGGAAATTCAACACATACCAAAGTAGTAGAATAGAGGTACACCTGCATGGGTATCTGTGGTAACTGGTAAGTGGTTTTCTTATGAAATAATTAGAGTCGGATTGGTTTCTATAGTTATTCAATGTATAACAAAGGTATAAAGGCTGCAACTCTTCCACCACACTTCAGCCATGTAAACCATTGGTGATTAGTGCCACCTGAGTCTGGGGGTCACCCATAGAAGCTGGTGGCAATGTCAGGGATGGGGCTGGCAAGCACCCACAGAAGCTACCAGCAGTGTCAGTGGCAGGGACGGCTCTGTCGTGGGGGGGAGGGGAGGCATGTCCCTCCCGCCCCCATACCCTCCTTAGCAGTTGCCTATGATGTAAACTTTTGTGCACTTCCCCTCTGTCTGCTGATCTGATCAGCCAATTGACAATGAGTAACGTTTTTCTAGTTATATTCACTGTGCGATATCTTTAAGCTGACTAAGTACTGCCTGCAGCCAACCAGGTACAAAGCCAAACTGTGAAGGGCTGGGGCCCAACTAACCAAGCTACATGGACCAATATGTAGGTATGTTCACAGGGAAAAACTAGTAGATATTAACAGGCTGTTTATCAGAGAAAGGCATAACAAGAACTAGTAGCTTCAAGCTTAAGCCAGAAAAATTCAACATAGAAATTAGACACAATTTTTAATAGTAAAGGTTGTAGAATAGACTATAACAGGTCTTAAGTTGCTTAATGGCAATTTAGTATATAGCATTTGCTTGCATTCATTTGAACAGAGTCTGGGTAAGAGAAAAAGAAGAAAAGGAAATGATCAGGCCAAAGGATGTCACAATGTGTAAACAGTTGTAGAAAATTCAAGAAAGATGGATTGGAAAAAACTAGGCTAATGGCTGCCTAAAATACATGTAGTGGTTTGATGCTATATAAGGCTCATTCTAGACAAGATATAGCTTAGATATGGAATAAAAATAGGTATATGAATATTAATTAGGATAGCATCTATTAGAAACAGTTTTATATCTTCTACCTTATTCAGCAAGCTTTTTGATTTAGAGTCTGGCAATAAAGTATAAAAATCATGGAATTTTTGCTCTTCAGCCTTGAGTTATGATTTTTGTTAAATAGCCCATCTGCAGATAAACCAAGATGAGAGCTCTTTTAAAACTTAATTTGAAACATATATGAGAAGTCCTTTTCCCTAACAGGTTAGACATCTGGTAGAGACTTTTAAAGACTTTAGGTCTTAGAGAAATCAATTTTAATTTCCCTCAAATATTAATAAGATTGTTATTTATTCAGATGAATGCACATTTTACAAATTTTAATCATTTGCTTGATATGGCTAAACTGTGTTGTTTGTTCATTTATATCTTACATGTATTTCATTATTAAATTTGGTGTGCAAATGTTACCTGCATTTATGCTTGTATTTAATTTTGGTGAGACTGACTCTTCAAACCTGTCTTGGTTCTCTGAATATATCCAAGGGACAACAAGATGATTAATCATTGGAACATTCTGCCATGGGAAATCTCTTGATGACTCCAGATAAATGACAAGATGCCTTTCGGGAAGATATGTTTTAGTCAAATGCAAATATTTAGTCTTGTGGTACCTAGGTAAAACTAGTGTGAAAATGAGATGGTGCAATGGTCACTTATGGCTATGAGTGCTATATTGCACTGCTGTAAATGAAGGAAAATTTTCTCCTCTTGATCCAGGCTTTTAAAGCCATGGCATACTTTAAGACCTGTGTAGGAGAGCAAGGTTTTTCTCTTGGGTCACCCTAAGCTAAAACTCAGTTAAACTTCAAAGTAACTTGTGGCAGATAAGCAGGAATATCAATCTGGGTCCCAAAGGAACTGGGAAGGTGAGGTCCTGGAGGGAAGTTCTAGAAGTAAAGCTGGAGAAAGGATTCTCAGCTTGTGCTAATACTAAGTTATCAGTACAGCTAGACTAGTAAAAGAGTACGTGTTGGACATTGGGTAAATATCACCTCTCAAGTAAAATCTTTACATGAAACATGAAAAGAATATTTTATTATAGATTTGTTTGTGGTGATGTCTGTCATATTAATTCTTCTGTATTAATAATTAATCCAGTCAGTGTTTAGTCAATGTCCGTGACCATGTTGGTGTAATTCAATTCTGCAGATCCAGACAAGTGATTTTTTAGTAGGAACTGTAAAAAATCTATTAAAAAGAAAAGTTGAGGCAAGTTGTCAAAGGCACAGATACTTATAAGGCTCTGCAATTCAGTTTATATGAATTATTTCTGCAAAACTGGATCAAACAAATGTTTGAAGTTCACATTCACACATGATTAGCAAGTATAGAAAAAGTGAATTCATTTTTAAAAAAATGATCACATGTTCATAGCTCGAGATTGGTTTTAAGGATGCCTTTTGGAGCATATCAGTGTTGTGGGGTAACTGCAATTGAAAGTGAAGGCTTCTTTTGGTTTATAAAATGCAAACATGACCATTTTTGGTGCCACACGTTTGCAAATCAGATGCAGTTGTCAAGAGGTATCCTACAAAAGAAAAAACACACTTGAAACTTGATGTTGCTTATTAATGATACAGTAATTGTTGTACAAAACTTGAAATTACCTTCATCTTTGTTAATGGCAAGATCTCCAAAGTTATTAAGATGCATTTGAGTTTTGGTGATATGTTTACACACACTTATTATAAAATATATTATCAAAATATATTGAATACATTGTATTTACAGGCTTATTGTTGGAAAAGAAAATTTGACCATTTTGAATGTGACTGATAAGGATGATGGAACCTATACCTGTGTTGCTAATACTTCTCTGGACAGCGTTTCTGCAAGTGCTGTGCTCACTGTTGTTGGTAAGATTGTATTTAAAATTCATAAGGACAAAACTAAGTTTATTTTGTAGAAAATATAAAACCAAATCCAAGGTCCTTTATCCTGCATTCTCTTTGGCTGTGTAGCTCATTTTTAAGGTAGTAAACACCAATTCAATCTTACCTAAAATGTTTTCCTTTCTGGGATACTAAGCTATGGACCAACTCTATAGCAAAAAAGCTTCAGGTAGCCAGTAGCATCTCCATTAGGTTGAAGTCAGTCTTGTGTGAGATGGGATTTTACTTAGATCAGAGCTGCCTAACTTTTAAGTAGCTGAGGGCCATACACTCCTTGGGCAACACCAGTGGGAGCTATGGACCCCAGGGACCACATGCCCCCCATCCCCACACTGCACCGAGCACTTGAGTGCCTGCCCCGCACTGCTGTACCTCATGCCCCAGCCCCTCCTCTGTGATCCCAGGTGCTACCTCACTGCTGCTTCTGGTGCATTCCCACTGCACCGTGTGCTCCCCTTATGTTCCTCCTGGCATCCCTCCCACCCTTGCTGCACTGCATGCAACCCTGCTGCTCTCTGTGCCCCTCCTCCCACTGCACTGCACACCTCCCACTGCTGCTCCCCATGCCTTCTTGCTGCACCACATGCTTAGGTACCCTGACTCACCCTTTGCTTCCCAGCCATGAGACCTCTCCGCTGTACCACAGCACTCGGGCATCCTGGGTTGTGGGGTCCCCTGGCTGGATGGCTGGGACAAGGATTGCGAACTGCATGCAATCCAATGGCCACCAGTTGGACAAACATACTTAGATCATACTTGAGCTAGCCAATATTGTTCATGATTCTTAGTGAAAGAATCTGGCAAGTTTCATAGTTTCATAGTAGCTAGGGTCAGGAGGGACCTGAACAGGTCATCCAGCCTGACCCCCTGCCACAGGCAGGAATGAACGCTGGGTTCACAAGACCCCAGACAGGTGATCGTCCAGCCTCCTCTTGAATATGCCCAAGGTAGGGGTGAGGACCACTTCCCTGGGAAGTTGGTTCCAGATTTTGGCCACCCTAACTGTAAAATATTGCCTTCTGATCTCCAACCTAAACCTATTCTCCATCAGCTTATGACCATTGTTCCTTGTCACCCCAGGTGGTGCTGGGGAGAAAAGAGCTCTGCCTATTTGCTGTTGATCCCCCTTGATGAGCTTGTAGGCAGCCACCAGGTCCCCCCTCAGCCTCCTCTTGCTGAGGCTGAACAGGTTCAGGTCCTTCAGTCTCTCCTCATAGGGCCTGTCCTGCTGCCCTCTCACCAAGCGGGTGGGACACCATGTGTCTCAGGCCAGCATGTCCTGGTGCTCCAAAATGCTGCAGTAGCCTCAAAACCTGTTGAATAATGACGTAAGCAAACTCCATGTAAATACTTATACAGATGGTCCATAGGAAAAAGCATTTTGTCTAGGCACTGTAAGATAATTTTACTTTATTTTCTTTTAATTTTAATATATGTATATTCAAAATTGCAGGGTTTATCATTTTTAGCCAACAGATTAATCAGTGCATGATTTAAAATTAAACCCTTCCACTAGATGCAGTAACTTTATCTCTAACAAACATAATCTTTGACTACAAGTAATTCTTATTGCTTTGGCTACTAACTAATTAAATCCTTTATATTAATGTTCTTTTCAGCTCCTTCCCCAACTCCAGCTATCATTTACGGTAAACTAATACAAAGTTTCTTTTTGCATCACTGAGCACATTTCATACTTTTGCCTGTTGCAAACTACAATTGCTTTTTTTTTTGTTTCATGTCATTTTACTATTTTTTTAATTTAAGCAGAAAGGAGCTCTGTGCATTCATCTCATTATATTCTTACTAGATATTGAAACTGTTTCATTACTAGAATCAAACAATATACAAAAAATGAGCTTTTTAAGCAAACTATTTTAATGCAAGTCATGTAAGTCAGTCACAAAATAATGCGGGTTCATCACACCAAGTAGAGTAATGTAGAGTATTTCTGTAGTACACGAAATACAAAACAAAGATTTAAACAGTAGAATTCAGCAGTTCCTTTAGTCTAGTACAACCAGATTACACTCCTGATTTCATGTCATTTAAATTATTAGATGTTCTATCATTCATCTCAGTAGGAGTGACATTAAGATCCATGTGGTCTAGCTTCCACTATGCAGAAGCATGGAAAAAGTGAAGTAAAGGCTGAAAATCTGATTATAACAGTTAACGTGACCCTTTGTACACATCTGCTCTCTATTTTTCAGTAGACAGGGTGCCTAAAAACTGCTAAGGACTTGATTTTGTGTCAAGTTTTTTCTTGCTAAAAATTAAATAAGATGGTATCGCCCCACTTGTTTTCCATTGAGTAACATTGCATTTAAATATTATGCCATGACAGTTTCTACATTTTAATCCTGTGAAATGTGTGAGATAAGGTCTTAAATTTCCTGTCATGTTTTCATAATGGATTTGTTATGAAAATGGTGGCATAATGATTTAAGCTATGGATACATGAATTCAAGACCTATGTGAACCTATATTAAAGGCTGTTCCCCAGTAGATGCAGTTGTAAATGGTCATTCAGGCTGGGAACTCCAAGGCAACCAAACACAATGCAGAACATATCACTCCCTTATGTGTCGTTGGTTAAACTGGTATGCTTTAACCACACTAGCCCAATGGACTGTTAGGCTTGCGTTAACCTTTCTGGACGTGATGCTTTGGATATTTAAAAATATGAATAACTTGAATGTAAATGCAATGTCCTTGGATAAGCCCCATTGATTCTGTGGGGCTATTCTTATGCATATTTAGACTGAACAGGCTTCCGTTAGTCTTTAATTCCAGAGTATTAATTATCTGATAAGTGATTTTTCACCACTTTGTAATGAACTACTACATAAGTACATGTGCTGAGAATTGTATCTTAGCAACTCATTCGATATTTTTAAATTATCCCTACATATTTAAAGAATTTTAAATTCTAATTTTTTTTCTTACCCAGAGAGTATCTGCTTTAAAATTATATTTGAAATGTTTTGAAGTAATTCTGAAACAGTTTCTTTTTTAATGTCTGTGCCACTTTATTTTCCATTTGTTATCATTTATTTGATTTCATATGCAGTAGTTTGCTACTCATTCATTATACTACTTATATCTGTTAACAGAATATGCTGATGAACATGTAGATGATCCATCAATTTCATATTTCTTTGCCTGTCATTACAGTAGCTTTTATATCATATAACAGTCAGTCATAGAATTCCTATTTAAACTGTTTGTTTCGCAAATATTAAGAAAAATTCCAAGCAGCTTCATTTTATATCCATTTTATTACAGCTGTATGTTCATAGCCAATAAACCATGTTTATACAATTGCAGTAGATCAGTATTGAGCTTTTGGAGAACTTTTGGTTGGAATGTGAGAATGATTGTCAAAAAGAAAACCCTGTTTGGTTTATTTGGTTTAGTTACTGTGTGTTTATTTGGTTTGCAGCACATCCAAACCCACCCTTTGATTTAGAATTGACAGGTCATCTAGAAAGAAGCATACAGCTTTCATGGATACCAGGAGATGACAACAACAGTCCCATTACAGGTATGTTTGTCCATAATTCATTCTACCTGAATTAAGTATTTTCATTTTTCTGATTCCAACAAATTTTGAACTATACCTTATTGTAGTGTAGTTATATGTAAACGTTTCAGATTCATTTAGCCATTACTTATTTATGAGTTTATAGATTATTGAATTTGGGGGAATTTGTAGTTTCAGTATAGCATACACTTTTTAGGTGTGCCTAAAGAATAGAATAATGGATGCCTTATAAGTGTAGTAATAATAATTAAATAATAATAAACTTAAAACATAATAGTTTGATTCTTCTCATCCATTAGACTACTTTGTGATCTGTTGGAATTTTTCAGTGTTTTTTAGAATGTAAAACCAGAAGGTATCATGCAGTCTGACCTGGATATCTCAGGCCCTTAAATTTTACCTAGTTACCATTGCAGAGTAACTTGTATTTTTATACAGATTCATTTTATACTTGTCATGTGGTACCTAGACACTCCTGGTAGACCATGAGTGGGCAAAATGGCAGATCCGGCCAGCAGTGAGACTCCATTTCCCAGCAGCCCCTGCCCATGCTGCTCCCTGTTGGTCTTCATGGAGACCCCAGGAGCGCGGGGACATGAGGGTACAGAGGCGTAGAACTGGGGCTCTTCCCTGGTCCAGCCTGGCTCTGTCATGGCCCCATGCTGCTGGGGTCTCCATGGAGATTGGCCAGGAGCAGCATGAGCAGGGCATGTGGCTTCGGGGGGAGCCGCTCTGGAGCTGGGGCTGGAATCCTTTGGCAATGATGGCACAGGGTCTGGGCCAGGGCAGAGCCTCGATCCGCTCCCTGTATGTCCCTGCCCATGGAACCCATGCTCGTGGCAGGCAAGTGGGCAGCAGATTGCAGCACTGCCCTGTCTCTGCACTGTCACTGCCCCAGGATCACAGGGTTTCCCCATCCCCACCCCACTGTCTCACTTTCAGCTGCAGCCCCATCCCAGTCACCTGGCTGTGTGCCCTGCCCATGCAGGTCCCACCCCCTGTGGTGGATGCCAGGTGGATGGGCCAGGGTGCCCATACCCTGGGCCTGGGTCCAGCAGTGGCAGCCAGAAGGAACTGCTGCCACAGAGACCGCTGGGAAATGGAGTTCACTGCAGGCCTGATGCAACCCATGGGCCTGTCTTTGCCCACCCCTGCTCTAGACCATTCCTGCAGGTCCCCGCATTTAATAAATGGCCTGTGATAGAGCAGAAAAAGTCAGTGGTGGAGAAGTGGTGGGCTATATCATTTAGGGCTTTACTTCAGGCAAGAATGTTTTCTTTGCCATAGGCTCTGTAGGAACAGACCAGAACAAATACATTTAAGTTATCTATTGAACTTACCTCAGAACATCCTGCTTCATAATGGATTAAAGAGTTTCTTGAACTGAGGGTTAGCCAACTTACTTTAAAAAAAACAACCTAGACTTCAGCTAACTCTTCTAAATGTGTTATTTGTAAAAATAGTGGCAGAGCAGGAGGAAAGAAACTTACTGTCACTGCCAACTGGTGTTCACTAAGTTCACTTACTGAACCAACCAACTCCCTTGAATTATCATAAAGTCACTTGTAATTTACTATCGTGTTATCTGAGACAGTGCCGGCAAGGAAGTTTGGTGCCTGGGGCAAATACACAGTAGCAGCCTGCCCTCGCCCCGTGCACAGATCCAGGGGGTCATGGCTCCGTCTCGCACACTGCCTTGGCTGGGCAGAGCCTGTTGGCACCCCTTCACTTCAGCACCCAGGGTGGTTGCCCCACTCACCCCCTCTTGCTATGGCACTGATCTGAGAAATACCTTTATAAATCATTATGACAATATAGAAGAGCACAGAAGCTTATGCTAATTATCTCATAATAAGATAGAGCTTTCTCAATTGGCTACCATCAGTCTTTGATGTTCTCTTCCCTTGGCCAAACTCAGAGCCCAAGTCAGAGCCTGATGTGAAATGCTGTTGTTTACTTTAGAATTTCTTTTTTCCTCCTGATTTTCTGTTGTTTTATTCTGACAAAGTGACTTAATCGCCAGTATTACTGGAAGCAGCAGCTGTGGTTTTTATTGCTATTCACTGTGGACCTATTAATGTAATTTATATATTCATTAATTCAGTAAACCAGCAGTTAACACCTGTTTTAACAGGAATCATAAGTAGTACAATAGAGATTTCCTTCGCTTTGTGTGGGTTCTGTATGTGCGAATTTGCTCTTATGCGTTGACCCCTTTTATACCAAAATTTGTTATATGCAAGGTAAATTAACTCATGCATTTGCTGTGGTGGAAGCCTGCAGTCAGCTGCTTTGTGCAGTGCCTTGTGGGAGTGACACACACCAAAATACAGTCTCCTGTGTGGATCTGTGCCCCTCACTCGCTGTCTGCGACATGTTTCTGTAGTTGCCATCCCCATCATGTTAACATTCACAGCCACCCTGTGCTTGTGTGTACTGTCTGTCAGCTGTTGATGAGTACCAAAATTGTCTTGTAAAAGTGGTAGAAATGGGTCTGGGGGTCAGTACAGTTGAGGTCTTGGGACATATCCCTATTTGTTACATTGTAAAGTGGATTTCCTTTATGCAAATTTGGGTTATGCGCCATTTTCCAGGAACACATGTACAGCATAAAGTGAGGGAAATCTGTAAATATGCATGGAAAAATGAGCTAGAACAGGGAGTGTCAACTTCTCCCCACCTCTTGGGTTTGATAAGTGGCACAGAGCTAGCTGGTCCAGAGGCCACATCTGGAGCACAGAACTGTGTCATCTAGCTCACAGGGCTGCCCAATGGGCCAGAAATTTTGCAGAGAGGTGAGCATCATCAGTATTAATTGCTGTGATTTGTCCTGCCACCAAATTTCCAGCCCACAGGGACAGACCAGATAGCATAGCTCCATGCTCCGAATCCAGCCTGTGGGGTTGCCTGTGGGACTCAGAAATTTGGTGGCTGGATGAGCAGTAGGTGGCTGCCACAGCCATGGGAACTGCAGCAACCAGCACTGCTGCCATTTGCCCCATTGCCAAATTTCTGTCTCTGTGAGCCACATGACACAGCTCCTCTATGAGCCATATCCATCCCACAGATTGGGTCTTTGAGACTACCTGAGTTACATGAACTATGAAATGTTGTTCTTCATGATCTGATACTGTAATGGTCCAGTGTAAAGGGTAAAAGGTACAGGTGAGGAAGCTTGTATAAAAACTTTGTGATTATAACATATTGATTATATTTATACGTAATTTTAAAGTATATTTTATGATGTTTATTTTTATATAATTGGTCTGCGTTATAAAACCAGTTAAAAATAACTTTAATATGTACAGCAGCAGTTTTGATCACCCTTTTGTTAACATTACTGTTTCTTTGCATATATTTCCAATTCTGTGTACTAAAATTGGATTTAGTAATGTAAGGCATAAGTTATGCCACATTATGGAAAAGAGGTAAAACTGCTTCATTACAGATAAGTACATCCTATTATTGTCTCATAGCAGATCTTTTCTAGAGGTTGGTGTTCCTATATAACTCTGGTTTTGGAAATCAAACTCTAGTTTACACTGTTTTTAATTATGTTATAGCTTAAATTATTGTGCTGTGCCTTGAGAGGATAGGAAGCATAAATAAAACTGTTATTGCTGTTCTTATAAAAGCATACTTTTGTACAGACTATGGTAGAGGATAGCGCGTAATAACTAGCTCTTAAAAGAGAAGGCAGTTTGCAAGTCAGTTTCTCCAGCTCAGTAAAAAAACATGCTTTTTGGAAATTGCTGTACCAGAATTACAGGCAACAGGCCAGTTTCTAGGGAAACTCAAACACTGAGACAAACATTGAGGAATCTTGCCAGTTTTCAGCATAGTACAGTGGTGCTCCAAGTTCTGGCCCTGTAGGCAGATCAATGGTGTGGGAGCCAGTCCATGGCTAGATCAGACCCTGCGTTCCAGGATCTGGCTCTGTGCTGGATGAGGGCCCCATGCCACCGCCGCCTAGCCCTATGCTGCAGGACTGGGGCCCTGAGCCTCCTCTGCCTGGCCTTACACTCTGGAATCAGGGTGCCAGGGCCCATGCTGCCTCCACCAAGCCCCACACGCTGGGATTGGATCCTGCACTGCCCTGTGTGCTTGATCAAGCATGCAGGACCATGGCCCGCAGCATTCTCCATGTACCTGTGAGGAGCCCATGGGCTGGATGACACAACGCTAGGGGCTGGATCTGACTTGCAGGCTGGGTGCTGAGCACCCTTGGCCTTACCATATTCTGACAGTTTCAGTAAACAACATATTTAAAAAAGCTGCACACCTTTCTACTCCCAACCATAAATTAGCCAGCAGCAACAAAAACTAAGGACAAAGGGAATATATTAGAGTTTTCCAGTCCTCCCCCTATCCCAGCACTTGAATCAAAAAGAAAGCAGTAGAGCTACAAGCCCACAGGCCTCCACTCTCTACTTCCAGGAAGGGAACAGTAACATTTTGGAGGAACCTTTATGGAATGCAGTACAAGAATGTAAAAAGTGCAATAATCCGTCACACCACAGGTCCATCTAACTCTGTATCCACTACCTCACAATGGCAAGAAGTGGATGTTAAGGGACATAGTATATATATGCAGGGCCTATCAACACTGATCAGTCCCCTGCCTCTCTTCCCTTACAGTATTCAGAGGCCTGTGAAGCCTTAATTTATAGGGTGCATCCCTAACTACAGTGTTTACTACCTACCCTGCCTTAATTTCTCCAGTGTTCTTTTGAACCTGGTTTAGTTATTATCGTTTATAACATCGTTTAGTAGTTAGATCTGCAAGTAAATTACATACTGGATGAAAAATAATATCCTTATTTTTGTTCTAAAATTGCTTTCTAATAATTTCAGAGTATAACCCTTCATTTTAGTATTGTATGACAGCAAATGCAAAATCCTTATTTACTTCCTCCATGCCATGCATCATTGTATAGATCAATATCATATTCTATCTCTGTTGTCTTGTCTGTAAGCTGAAAAGTTCTAGCCTATTTAGTCTCTCCTAATGCTAAGGGAGCCTCTCCATGTTCCTGACCATTTTTGTTGCCTGTTTCTATACCTTTTCTACTATTCCACATAGGGTTCAACAGCAATATCCTCTGAGACCTCATGATATTCCCATTCACTACCTCTGTATGTAAACATAACATACTCTGTTGTCATAGAGTGTTGATCAGCCTTTTCCTTGCTCTGCTCTTTCCACTGCACAACTTCAGTAGTCTATCTACCTTTTTTGTGTCCAAAGTGCTTTCCATCCTCATCCTCCAGCCTGTGTTCTTCTCATTTGAACTCCCTCTTCTTCATTTGTCCTTTCCCTTTCTTTTCTCCAGAATCCCACCCTGGCCCCAACTTTTGTCCTGAATTCCTCCCAAGTATTCCCAATACTATCTTTGTAATATAAAGAAAACAATAATAAAGCCAGCCATGTAACTAGGGAGCTGTGTACTAGTCATTACCCCAGGTTTCTCTCATTTCCTCTCTATTTGATTGTCTATCTTTAGACTATCAGTTCTGTCAGGCAGTGGCTCTGTGTTTTTAGTATAACCACTATATTAATAATAATAACCTCCAAATCATAGAATCATGGAAAGTTAGGGTTGGAAGGGACCTCAGGAGGTCATCTAGTCCAACCCCCTAATCAAAGCAGGACCATCCCCAACTAGATCATCCCAGCCAAAGCTTTGTCTAGCCAGATTTTGAAAACCTCCAAGGATGGAGCTTCCACCACCTCTCCAGGTAACCTGTTCCAGTGTTTTACTACCCTCCTAGTAAGAAAATTCTTCCTAATACCTACCCTAAACTTTCCTTGCTGCAACTTGAGACTGTTGCTCCTTGTTCTGTCATCTGCCACCACTGAGAACAGTCTAGCTCAGGGGTGGACAATTATTTCGGGCTTTGGGCTGCTTACCCAGTTTTGGCAAACTGTTGAGGGCCGCATGGGTAGTGCCACCCCTTGACAGATGCCCCACCCCTTGACAGGTGCCTCATCTCTTGGTCACTGTCTTGGGACCAATGTCCCAATGTCTTGCGACCAGTGTCCCAGGGCCAGCACTGGTGTGTCCCAGAGCAGGGCGCAGGCTGGCACGAGTCTGTCTATAGAGCTGGGATGGACTGCACCAGCAGGGAGAGGGGGAAGCTGGCCTGGCTCCATAGAGCCCCTGTCAGCCGGGACCCTGTACCCCTGCTGCCCTGCTCTGGGCCCTGCTGGTGCTGGCCCTGGGACACACAGGTACAGGCCCTGTGCACCCACTCACTCCCGGTGCCCCCCCAGCCCTGCGCTTCCGGCAGGGGGCAGCATGCAGCCTTGACCCTGTGCTCGCTGGTAGGGAATGAGCTGGTGCTGAGCACGGGGAAAAGGGGACCCTCCACTCTGTGGCCAGCTCTCCCTGCTGCAGCAGGGGGGGGCTGTCCTGAGCAGGCACAGGCAGCCCCATGCGAGTTGTGAGTGGCTGCAGCGTAGGGCGCCAGCCTCAGGGCAGGTGAGGGGCCACTTTCCCCTGCACTCAGCACCAGCTTGTAACCTGCCTTCGCTGCCAGCCTGGGCCCCACGTCAGCTTCGAGCTCACCCGTCGGGGCTGCACCACAGTGGGAGCAGCTGCTCAGCATGGAGGAAAGCAACGCCCCAGCTTGCCATGCCAGTGTAGTGTTTGCCACTGCTGCCCACCCACAGCTCATGTGCTGGCCAGCACAGGGGCGGCGGTGACAAACACTGTCCAGCATGGCAAGCAGGGAGGCCACTTTCCTCCACACTGAGCAGCTGCTCCCACTGTGGCACAGCCACAATGGGCAAGGCTGGCGCAGGGCCCAGGCTGGGTGCAGGGGTGGATTACAAGCTGGTGCTGAGCACAGGGAAAAGTGGCCCCTCGCCTGCCCCATGTCCGGTGCCCTGCGCTGCAGCTACTCGCAGCCCACATGGGGCTGCCTGTCCCTGCTCAGGGCAGCCCCAAGCTGGCTGCGAGCAGCTACAGCAGGGGGCACTGGTCATGGGACGGGAGAGGGGCCACTTTTCCCCCGGGCTGCTTTTCCCCAGGCTCTGTCTCTGCCCTTCCCCCTCCCCACCCCCCACCCTTTCCTGAGTTTCTGACACTGGTACAGCCTCATGGTCCCAGGCCAGAAGCCCTGCTGGGGCTTCTGGCTGGGATGGGGGAGCCAGGTGGGCCCGGCTGTTGCAGGAGCCTGCCAGGGCTTCCCCTGGGTCCTACTGCCCCTAGCTCCTGTCATTTTTGGCAGATAAATATTAATTTTCTAAATTTTTTAGGGGCTCTGTGGGCTGGGTAGAATGGTCTCACAGGCCAGATTCAGCCTGCAGGCCATATCTTGCCTACCCCTGGTCTAGCTCCATCCTCTTTCGAGCTTCCCTTCAGGTAATTGAAGGCTGCTATTAAATCCTCTCTGTCTCCTCTTCTCTAGCATAAATAAGTCCAGTTCCCTCAGTCTTTCCTCATAAGTTATGTCCCTCAGCCCCCACACCATTTTTGTTGCCCTCTGCTGGACTCTCTCCAATTTGTCCACATCCTTTCTGTAGTGGGGGACCCAAAACTGAACACAGTACTCCAGATGTGGCTTCACCAGTGCTGAATAGAGGGGGATAGTCACTTCCTTTGACCTACTGGCAAGATACCTACCAGTGCAGCCCAGTGTGCCATTGTCCTTCTTGGCAGCAAGGGCACACTGCTGGCTCATATTCAGCTTTTTGTTCACTGTAACCCCCAGGTCCTTTTCTGCAAAGCTGCTGCCCAGCCAGTCAACCCCCAGCCTGTACTGGTGCATGGGATTGTTCTATCCTAAGTGCAGGAATTTGCACTTCTCCTTGTTGAACCTGAGATTCCTTTTGGCCCAATCCTACAATTTGTCTAGGTCACTGAATCCTAGCTCTACCCTCCAGCATATCTACTACTACCTCCAGCTTGGTGTCATCTGCAAACTTACTGAGGGTGCAGGTGCACTCTGTGCCATCTTCCAGGTCTTTCATGAAGACCTTGAACAAAAATGACCCCTGAGGCACTCCACTGGGTACCAGCTGCCAGCTAGACATTGAGCCATTGATTACTACTCTCAGAGCCCAATGCTCCAACCAGTTTTCTATCCACTTTACAATCCATTCATCAAGCTCATACTTCCTTTGCTTGCCTGAGAGAATTTTGTGGGAGACTATCAAAAGCCTTGCTAAAATCAAGGTACACCACATCCACTGGTCTCCCCTCATCCACAGAGTCAGTCACTTCATCATAGAATGCAATCAGGTTAGTCCAGCATGACTTGCCCTTGGTGAATCCATGCTAATTGTTCCTAATTGCCATTTTCTCCTATTTGGACATTTCTTGTCAGTCCCTAGTTCCAGTGGGGCTCTGTTTCATATAGCATGTGAGGACGGATGTTCAGGTGGTTGACTTTCTGTTTTATCAATCTCTCTAAATGGTTAGGGCTAATACTTGAGGGTTTCTTTATACCACCTGTAACAGACCTATGGGATCCTTATGACAGTCACTCATCATCAAAATACCTTTTCTCCTTTTCTCTGTGCCTGTGATATACCCCTTCCACACAGGTTTGGCAGTGATAGCAGCTCTGCTGGATCCCAGTAGTCAGACATTTCCTTATAAAGGGCAGTACTCACTTCCCCCAAGGGAATAGCATATGGGACCTTTTGCACTGTTTCAGTAGTGCAAAGTAGTCACAGTCTGAGCCAGATACTGGCCTTTATCTCAAAATTTAACTAGAGTTATAAAAAACATTGTCAGACAACAGGTAGTCATTTGAAAGTTCACTGAATTCAGGTAATATATCAAAATTAAAGACAAATATGAGGCAAAATGCTTTAGACCAGGAGTCAGCAACGTAATGTCCACAGGCCATATCTAGCCCCTGGAGCTTTTGGATGTGGAGACATGATGGTTTCCATGACATGTGGCAGCAGGGAGCTTTGCTTGTGGGCTGTAGCTGTGTGGTGGGGGGAATAGGAGGTAGTGGCCAGGTCCTAGTGCTGGTCTACCTCAGATCTGAGCTGGGTCATTCTGGCCCCACACTGGAAAACATTTCTACCCTTTGCTTCAGACCTTTCCTTTATCCTACACACCTATAAATGGCTCAAACCAGGCATGTTCCATGTTCATGACAGCAGGCAGGAGTCTCTCTGCCTTTTCTGTTACACCTGAAGATTTTTCTTACTATGATATTTCTAAGGTATCATTGCATTGATATTCAAGCACCAAGAACAGTCACAATAAAAACATGTTAATCTGATAATATACTATATCAACAAGAATCTATAAATAATTATTTATATGGCATTAATAGGTATGTCAGATTAAATAATATAAAGTGTCCTTTACATTTCTCTGCATGGACTGCTTTTGAGAACCATGCTTGAGATATTGGTTTTTGTTAGGATCTTTTATTTAATTTCGGGGGGGAGGGTGGAAGTGGGGGTTAATAAAAATGTATTATTACTGCCTTCAGATAATTTCATCCACAAATTATCCTGTTACTCTGTTGCCTGGGGAAAGGTTACAGTTTTGACATAATTTAATTGTTGTTGGTAGATTTTGTCATTGAATATGAAGATGTAATGCATGAACCAGGGGTATGGCATTACCAGACGGAAGTTCCTGGAACTCAGACAACTGCACAATTAAAGCTATCACCATATGTTAACTATTCGTTCCGAGTTATAGCTGTCAATGAGATTGGTAGAAGTCAGCCAAGTGAACCATCTGAACAATACCTGACAAAAGCTGCAAGTAAGTAAATATTATCATTTATCAGTAATCATTTTATTCTTTAGATGGCTATGAATTATCCAGAATTCAAAGAATATTCATATGGAAATATTTAACTTCTAGACCCAGATGAAAATCCTTCTGGCATTCAAGGGATTGGCTTGGAACCTGATAACTTGGTGATTACCTGGGAGGTAAGATTTTTAGCCTCTAAGTAACATTTTCTAGAGAAATAACAATCAGTAAACTAAATGAAGCCATGGTTGGAGCGTATTTGAGCTGAAACAGAAATCTGCTATGTTGTCCAGGCTTTTGCTGCTTGTGATGTGGGTCAGGTACAGACATTCAGTTTCTACTGGGAGAATCACCACAAGGGTACAGGCTTGGGAGCAGGACTCAGGGACCCTGTTTCCAGTCACCAACTGTTAAATCACCACCCCACCACTCTGCTGGGTGACAGGGAAGCCAGGTGGAGTCAGGAGCAGGACCCATGTTGGCAAGGTTTTTCCCAAGTCCTGCTTCCAGCTGCTGGATTGTTAATTGCTACCCTACTGCACTGCTCTGGACCAGCTTGGAAAATTGTGGGGTGAGGCAGGCTGCCATGCCTCTTCCACAGTGTCTGAATGCCCACATATGCACACCCTCCCTGCATTCCTTCAGGGCAGCCCAGAGGTGTTGAAGAATCAAGGACCATTCTCCTGCTGGGAAGAACTGGGAGGGTCCCCACCTTGAGAGAATGCTCCACTCCTGCCAGTGAGTTGAATGGTGGGATGGAAGAGCATTACCCAGGGTGAGAGCCCTCCCAGAGCTGTCTGTACTGCTGCTTTTCAGCAACTGGCAAATGGCAGTTGACAGCCCATCCTTTTTCCAGGCAGGGGGACAGGCAGGCTGTCAATTAGCAAGGTTCCCTAAGGGCAGGGGTGGCAGGAGCAGCTCTGTAGTGATTCCTAGCTGGAGCTTGTCTATGAAACTCTTGAACCATGGGGCTGAGGGAATGTCAGTCCAGCTCCTCAGCTATTTTTCTACCAGAAGAAATTTCCTCCAGTAGAAATGAGTGTCCGTATGCAGCTGTACCGGAGAAAAATGGGAATGAACCGTCACAATGAGAGATAATTTCAAGGGACCATAGTTGGTTATTAGTTTCTCCATCACACTATTGACTTATTAACTTACTATGTCCAAAGTGTTTACATGCATTATTGTAAGATTTAAATATGTATGTATTGGTCTGGATCTATTAGGGTCATAATTTTCAAATAGATTCAGATTTAAATCCTAACACTTCAATTAGCTTTATTATAAACAAATGATCACTATACCTTCTGCTCATGGCATCATATTACCATCATTCCTGTGACAAGAATTCTTGTTCTGTTGCAAAACTCAGATCCCTAACGGTGCTATTTTGTAAAATCAGCTTCCCATCAGCTTTCTATAATAGCTTTCTTCAGCTTCAAAAGAAGTACTGTCATCAAGAATGCAGGAACACTGTTACATTTTATGACTAAAAAAATTGGCGTTAGGCTCTCTGCTTTTCAAAATATGGGACATTGCATCTGTTTGATAAACTAGTGACTCACATCAGCTTAAATGAAATAGAAGTCTCACTTGGAAATTTCAGTAGTGTTACCCTGGTATAAAACTGAGTAAATGTAGTGGTAAATTACATTGCCTTTTCATTACAAATCCAGAGGTTTCTTATGACCCTGGATCTATCTTCTTTACAGGTGTTATAGAACAATTTTGAAATATTAACTTTCTTTTTTTTTTTTTTTTTTTTAATTTTAGCCTTTAAAAGGTTTTCAGTCCAATGGACCAGGGCTCCAATACAAAGTCAGTTGGCGCCAGAAAGATGCTGATGATGAGTGGACTTCTGTTATTGTTGCAAATGTTTCTAAATATATTGTGTCTGGTACACCAACCTTTGTTCCATATGAGATAAAAGTACAATCTTTAAATGACCTGGGATATGCACCAGAGCCATCAGAGGTGATTGGACATTCTGGAGAAGACTGTAAGTTTCATAGATTGACACGGTGTACTAATTAAAAAAGGTCAAATACCAAGTCTCAGTAGAATTTAAACATTATTGAAAATGTGTGGATTAGAGGAGAATTTTTCTTGTTTCTGTACTAAGCATAAATTGATCAGTCCGTGTCTCTTAAAAATAGTAAAGCCTTCATATACCTTGGTAGTCTTGAAGCCCCCTTTTGACATGAAGTTGTCAAATGAAGTAGATCTCAAAGTGCCACTTGTATCCTCTGATTCTGACCTGGGCTTTGTTGCATCTCTCCCCACAGTACCAATGGTTGCTCCCAACAATGTGCAGGTCCATGTTATTAACAGCACACTAGCAAAGGTGCATTGGGACCCAGTTCCCCTAAAAACAGTCCGAGGGCACCTTCAAGGATACAGAGTAAGTAATTACAAAAGCTATTTTAACCCTCCTTTTTATAAGTAAAATGTTATTGAAGTAGGTGTCTGGTTGTGAAAAGCAACTGATGTAGTAAAAAAGTTGTTTCTCAACACCACCATAAGTGGTGAGGGTGACCAATAGACAGAGTATACTTTATAACAGCAGCGGTATAGTTAAGTTAATGTGTGGCACTGCAACTGGGCTGATTAATCATTCTGAGAACAGGGTATATCAGACTAGGTAACACACCACACTAACACAGTCATACTGTTTCCACTATACCAAGGGTAGGCTCCCCCCAGCACAGATGCCAGTGTGTGGCACACAGAGGCATTTTGTTTGGCATGAACACCTCGGGGAAGGGGCCGGGGCTACACTGCCACAACAAGGATTGGGCCCTTCATGGCTCCCCTGCTGTCTGTCCCTAGCATGCCAACATCTTACATGTCAAGGTGTTTTTGGCACTCTGCCCAAAAATGTTTCCACCCCCCGCACTATATTATTTCTTTTTATTTATTTATTATTGCAATTTGTATGCCTCGTCCCAGCAAAGTCTCAGGGCAGCTTGTGGTAAGAGAATAGAATAACTTTTAAAACAAGAGAGCAACAAGAGAAAAGTAAGCAGCAAAAGAAGAAAACAACTTAAAAGGGTACCAGAATATTAATATAAAACAGTGACCTATCAAGCAATATTGCAGCTTAGATTTGTTTGCCTAATGCCTGCCCAGATAGGAAGTTCTTAGAGCACTTCTGAAAGATGCCAGGGCTCGGGCTTTCAAGAGGATCCTTGAGAGGGAGGGAGTTCCAGAGCTGGGGAGCCACTGTCAAGAACGACCTTCCACATTTTTTTGCCATGCAGACTTGACATACTGATGGTACTTGCAGGAGGTTGCTCTTGGCTGGCCTCAGGAAATGCAGTGTGGTGAAAGAAAGAAAGAATGTGTTCTCTCTCTTTGTACAGTGATACAAATTAACTACATTATTGTAATTTTAACTCTGGATGAAATGGGGTTAAAGTTTGCCATGATTTTTTTTCTATACTTTTTTCATCAAAGGATCATAAAGAAGTAACTGTTACTTTGTAACATTTTATTCTGGTGCTATTCAATACCAGCATAACGGTTGATTCTGACTACTGCCCAGATAACTATTTTACAGATACAGAATGTACAGACTGTATTTCAAATGTCATAGTTATTTTTATAATTCTCAAAGCAATTCATGATCTTTTATCAAAAATATTAATATGGTACTAGAACCAAATTAAAGTGTCCTATGATAATGTCATCATGGATTTCAAAGCCTGGGGTTAACTAATGTGTATTATCATGTTAGGGATGTATACATGAGTGGCTGGAGAGATTGGGCACAAGTGTCACAAGACTGAAAGCCAGTCAGTAAAGCTAGCTGTAGTCTAAATAAGACTACAGAGGTCATCCTCAAACACCTGCACGTGGGTAAGGCAGACGTAACTCTTAATATACTTGGGAGCTCTTAATAATTTTGGTTTAAAAAAGGTACTGAAAAAGCATTAAAAGCATTTTGATTGACATTGCTGCTCTTCTGTTGCTGTAATTTATTCTCCTGACTGTTCTATAAATTATACGAACAACATAAAAAAGTTCTCTGTGAACTTCACACTTCCCTTCCAGATCACCCCATTTTTGAAAACCAAAACTATTAAAGCTCAAGCAGCTTTGTACTACAGGTACTGTGCTGGTATGAAGTAGCAATACTATTAGCTTCCAGATGAACAGGCCAGCCATTTGGTCTTTTTTTAAGAAGCTTAGTGTATGTTACCTGGGAACATGTCCTTCAATACCAGTTCAGTCAGAGACCATTTTCAGCCTGACTGGTGATATTTCTTTATTCAAGGGTGGGAGAGAGTTTCTTGAAAAGTTTGTCTTGTATTTATGTGTCATGACTCAGACCTTATTTAGCTTTAATTCAAGTGCTGCCAGGAGTTCAGCTTTCATTGTCTCATAACTGGCATCCTAGACTGGTCAAGAGAATAAAAGTTGGTACATAGAAAAAATGCTACTATAAGCCGAAATATTATAATAATGTTGCTGCTTTTTCCCCCTTTTTACTGTGTTAATATTTTTGGTTCATATTTTCCTTGCATTATATTTTATAACACTTATATCAGGTACACATTTCTCACCCCAATCATAATATTTCCCAATTTCTCCCCCAATTATAAATTACAAACTTTACCTAACAACTCAAGAGTACCAGAAAGAACAGACAGAAAAAAAGCAATATGAAAGCAGAAGGGTCAAGGTATTCAAAATAATGTTCATATTCACCAGAAAAAAAGGGGGAGATAGTGGGTTCCTATACATATACATCAAGGCTGCTCCAATGCACTATAATTACAGTGCATCAAGCAGACTCAATTAATCGAGTGTGTTGGAGCATGGTCATTACTGTGCACCAGAAGACTCTAGCACCACTCTAATTAAAGTGCCCCCTCCACCTGCCTCCTGGAGCATGTGTATAAACACCCAGTATGTCTACACTGCCTCTAGCACCTCTAGGAGCACCGTTGAAGTGCGCATGTTGCAAACGAATTTCTCAGTGCATCCCAAAAACTTGCAATTAGGCAGTATGGCTGGTTTATCATAGCTGGGAGCGCTCATCCAGAGCTACACTCAGGCTTTGTCTCAGGTGTAGTGCATGGCTTGTGCTCAGGCTCTATTCAAGGCTAAATTCACTCAGGTTTTGGTGTGTGCTGAGCAGAAACATGTGCACAGACAGGGTGTGCTTCTCAGGAGCATTCCTAAGGTCAGACATACCCTAACAGTCTAACCTTGTGCAGTAATACAATCTCGGTATATAACCTCTGCAGCTGTAAAGATGGATGGCACAATGCAATTAGACTGGCAAGCATCATAAGCCAGAGGGCACAAACTGACAGGAAGACAAGACCATGTCAGAGTTCAGAGAAAATATTTAGTTGTTTGTTTGTTTGTTTAAGAAAATATTTATATCTAGCATTGACTTAAGAGATGTTTCATCAGCCAACCTGATCTTAAACTAAGATGCAGACAAGCAGATTCCTCCACCTGTGTAGAGCTTGCTGTAGGGTTGACATCCAGGTCTCCTATCATGATCTGTCAACCATTTCAGCCTAATACAGTTCCTTATTTCCTTCATGAACAAACATCTCTGTGAGCATGGGCGACTGGTGCCTCCTGAGTCTAGTGGGGCACCACTGGGGCATGACTGGGAGGTCCCCCAGCAGCCAGTTGCCTAGCGTGCCAGTGCTGGTACTTCTGCTGCTGATGTGCCACCAGGGGAGCCAATTTCGGGGGGGGGCACTAGCACTCTCTGTGCCCCCCTACCAGCCAGAGCGCTCACAGTCAGGGAGGGCACATGCCCTCCCGTGCCCTACGATGCGTTGCCTATATCTGTGAGATTTATTCATCATAGTCTGGTCTTCGATCCATTTCTGGAACAGTGTAACTTTGAGCTGCTGCTTGAAGGGGCTCATTGCCAAGTCCCACAGTTTAGCCATAAATAACTATATTTGTAGTTGTATCAGGGTATTCATGAAAAATCTTAACAATCCCAGGTTACACTACAAGAATACTGCAATGGTCCCTTGGTAATATTTTTGTTTGTTTGTTCTTACACTTAGATTTACTATTGGAAAGTGCAGAGTTTATCTCAAAGAAGTAGACGGCATGTGGAAAAAAAGATCCTGACCTTCAATGGAAACAGAACGCATGGAATGTTGCCAGGACTGGAGCCTTACAGCTCTTACAGGCTGAATGTGAGAGTTGTTAATGGTAAAGGGGAAGGACCAGCAAGCCCTGACAAAATATTTAAGACTCCTGAAGGAGGTATGAAACACAAGGAATTAAACTAAACTTGTTAAATTTTAAAAATGACACATTGTGGGCTTGCTTTTATATTTAGGGATTATTATAGCCATAATTATTAAACATTATGTTTTTGTGTTGAAAACTGAAAGTAAGTGGAAGGTCAGTACAGAACATATGCCACATTAGGTTGAGACATATCTGTGTAATCCACTTTAATTTACATATATTCTTTTTACAAGTTCCCAGTGCACCTTCATTTTTGAAGATCACTGATCCAATGCTGGACTCTCTCACTTTGGAATGGGGTTTACCCACTTACCCAAATGGCATTTTGACAGCATATATACTGAAGTTTCAGCCAAGTAAGTAAAACATTGTAAAAGCAAAATCTCTTACCCCAAAGCCTGCTGAATACTAATTCATATATTTAAATTTAGTAGACATACCATAATTTACAACTCAAAATACCTGTTAGGTATCTTTTAAACAGTAAAAAGAATTGACGCTGATTAAATGTTTATGTTAAAACGTGCAAAAGTTTGATCTACATTGGCAGTGATCCCATTTGGAGATTTTAATCTCCTGCACTACAGTTACGAAATATGCAGGTGGGTTAATTGTGTTTTGTTGTTGTTTCAGTTTGGTTTTGTTTTTTTCTATGCCAGGGGGTTCAGGGCACACCAAAGGGCTCCGTGGGGCTGGCAGAGCCACTCCAAGCACAGCCCTGGCTCTCCCCCGCCACCAGGCTGCAGTCTGAATGGCTCGGCCAGGCCCACCAAGCTGAGGGGCAGGAGGTAGTGGGAGGCAGGGGAGAGCCGCTAGCCAGGGCAGCGCTCGGAGCCAGGGCTGCACTCCAAGTGGCTCCGCCACTGGCTCTCCTGCCTCTGGGCTGAGCTCCATAGGGAAGACCCCGGTATAGCCCCCCAGGCTGCAGCCCTTCCATTGCAGCTGGCATCGGTGGTCCCCCGGGAAGAGCTGGGGGAAAGATCAGGGACCTGAGGAATCCAACTGGGAACTGGGGGAATGTTCAGGGACCTGAACCAGGAACTGGGGGAATGTACAGTTAATAGAGGTTACAGTTTAAAAGTTAAAGGTTACAGTTTATCATGTCAGGGAGTAGGCTGACCACACATTCATTCAGTTAATGATGCAATAAAACAGGGAATAAGCCACAAAGTTAGTACACAAAATTGTGTAATAAGATTGTGGCTACTTCCCTTCATGCCATAAATTGAACATGTGGTCAGGGCCAATCAGCTGACTAGCACTCCCAACCTGGGGAGCATAACAGAGCTTTGAAGGGCTTGGATGTACTACGAAGGCTGGGAGCATCAGTCAACTGATATGGGCTCCTGGTTGCAGGAGGGCATGGAGCCCATGCCAGGCACCCAGCTTGCTACTTGACAGTATAAACACCTGTGGCATGACAGGAGGCACAATTGTCGGGGTCTTGGATCAGATCCCGTCACACCTTTAAATGTCTGTCAGTGGCCTTCCTCTAATAAAAATACTTGTGCAGTTTGCTTTTATCATGAAAAGGTCTGAAATGTAGCATTTTATCAAGTTGTGGGGAGTAGTAAATACGCTGGAGTGTAGGGCTAGGATTCAGTGACTTAGACAAAGTGGAAGATTGAACTAAAAGAAATCTTGTGAGGTTCAATAAGGACAAGTGCAAGGTGCTGCACTTAGGATGGAACAATCCCATGCACCAATACAGGCTGGGGATCTACTGGCTAAGCAGCAGCCCTGCAGAAAAAGACTTGGGGGTTACAGTGGTAAATAAGCTAAATATGTACCAACGATGTGCCCTTGTTGCCAAGAAGGCTAACAGCATACTGGGATGCATTGGTAGGTGTGTTGCCCGCAGATCAAGGGAAGTGATTTTTCTCCTCTACTCAGCACTGCTGAGGCCACATCTGGAGTACCATGTCTAGTTTTGCTCTCCCCCCCCCTCCCCTTTCTCAATAGAAGGGTAGTAAAACATTAGAACAGGTTACCCAGAGAAATTGTGGGAGCTCCATGCTTGGAGGTTTTCAAAACCTGGCTAGACAAAGCTTTTGCTGGGATGATCTAGTTGAGGATGGTCCTGCTTTGAGCAAGACATTGGACTAAATGAGCTCCTGAGGTCTCTGCTAACCCTAACTTTCTATGATTCTATGATTTATTATATTATATTAAATATTATATAATTTATATTTATATAGTTTATATTATATAGTTGGACTCCAAAATTCTTTTTAAAGTTTATTAACATTTACACAGAACATGTTGCATTCATTTAATTTATTGCTAGAGAAATATGTATTTGCTTTGTGATCAAAAGTAGCAACTGTGCAAAAGAATGGCAAGTTGTCACAAAATAATTGAGGAATAAAAAATGCAGAGGGTACTTTGCCCAAGTGGCATCAACAGACAGACTATAACCTTGCCAAAATTTTCCTGACAGGCATACAAATAGACTGGAGCTCTGTTGCATACGTTGTTTGAAAGATTATGCTCCTAGGGATCAGCTAAAGTATTTAGTTCAAAGGAAAGACTGATTCAGGTGGTGGCAAACAATCCTTCAGTTTTATCCAGTAAGCATATGGATCTGTGACTGCAAATGCCATTTGCAAGTTAGTCATTAATTTTTAGCAGCTTCATAGAAGTGTTTTAGGGCAAACTTAAGCTCTTCAGAAAATATCCCCAAGATGCATATTTGCATCTTCATGTATCAAAATAGCTTTGTTCTTATATTACGTATGAAAATGTCATTTGCATAATCAGAGTCTGAACAGGGAAATCTGAAAAGATACTCAGTATCCTCATAAACCGTTTTAACACAACTTTAACAGAGACATTATTCTCAATTAGATGTTCAAGATAAACCAAACTAACGCTTTATGCTTTTCTTACAAACACAGTTAACAGCACACATGAATTAGGCCCTTTGGTAGAGATCAGAATTCCTGCCAACGAGACCAGCTTGATATTAAGAAATTTAAATTACAGCACTCGATACAAGTTTTACTTTTATGCACAAACATCGGTTGGATCTGGAAATCAAATAACTGAGGAAGCAGTAACAATTATGGATGAAGGTAAGATGGGTATGTATAAAGAAAGTCTATTCAAGTTTTATAGAATCCTAGACTTTCATTCAAAATGTTAATATTTTTCCTTATCTCAAGGAAACAATCTGTATTAAAAATTATTGAATGATTTCCTAACTTGAGTATACGGTGATGCCAACTATTTAAAACAGATTTTTAACAGATGTGCAAAATTTTCCTACTGACATAAAAATCCCTTCTCTGTATCATACTTTACAAGACCTAAGCTTCTGGCTTTTCTGGACTGCACAATTTCATGCAGCTTTACACACTCTTAAGTGTCCTTTCTTTAGTTACTTATTCTGTTCTGTTTCCATGGCTACTGCTGGTCACAGACTACAATATTTTATTTGTGTCACTGTCTGTTTTACAAGGAGAAAGCTATCAAATGCTGTCTGCTGCAGAATGACTGATAGAATAGCAAATCCAGTTTTGTTGTAAATTCTACAACAAAAATCTCACAATAATGTTTATATAATCTATTTTTTGCCACAAACATAATGATAACCTGCAGTTGACTATGAGCCTAGTACTACAGGTAGAACCAAGATCAGGAAAGTACATGTAACAGCATCTCTTTACAAACTTCCATTGTTTTAGGCTTTTCAGTCTAATATTACAGTGCTGGATTCTTTTATTGAGGGTTAAAATCCTTGTGGAAATTCTGTGAAGTGGCCTCTTTTATAATTTTGCACATCTTAATATTAACAATCAATTTTCAACCTTTCTTTATACTTAATGAACTTATAGTATACTGTTATGAAACTCTATATCTGTAATAGGTATGTACATACTATATGAAAATATATTTAAACTGTGAATGTTAACAAGCATGATAATTAAGTTTAATCAATACATGCATATTAACTGTGTTTTGTAGTGATCTGTCAGTGTTCAGCATTTTAATTTTAATTCCCTACACCTAATACATTTCATTTAGTTGCATGCTTTTCTGGTTTATAATTAAATTATATGTTTATATATGTTCCCTTTGATGTTGTATCTAATTATATAGTGTCCTATTTTTATTTTCCTCCATTAAAGCTGGTATTCTCCCTCCTGCTGTAGGTGCAGGCAAAGGTAAAAGAAAGCTCTGCATGATTTTGTTAATGTGTGGATTTTTGCAGTGTTATAAATGGGGAAATTGCAGCTGGTAAGGAGAGAAAATATTGGACTATATTTTGTTGTATTAACTGTTCACTGATACTGAGAGAAATGTTTGCCTGATAGGTGGCTTTTCTTGGCAAAAAAGGCACTCGATACATTTATTTATCTGTTTGATTTCCTTATTTTGCCACAAAATTCTAGGGGGAATTCATTAGCTTTACTTTCAGGAGACTAATTACTTATCTAAGATACTGATACCATCCTGAATATTCAGGGTCTAAGACTAAGATGCCTTCTGACTCACATAGTAGAAGAAGGTGTTCTTTTTATATAAATTAATTTATCTTATGGAGGGTAACTTTTAATGTTGATACCGAAAGGGATATTGATACTGGAGTTAGGCGCACCTTTTTTCTGAAACATGATTTCTGCTGTCTGTTTGGTCAAGTTCATTTCATTTATAAGCTGACCATGGATTGGAAGCAGATAAGTGACAGCACCTTGTGTGAATTTCGCTTCTACTGTATTTCAGTTTAAGGAAGAAAAGACAGTACAAATTGAAAATGTGGGAAAAAACATTTCTTTGGTCCTCTCTTTGTGTCCTTCTCAGGCTCACAGATTTGGTGACTGGGTACTTATGGCTGTTTCCTTCGATTGTTTATATCTGGGGTTGGTGAGGTTTTTGGGTAGAGTGCCAAAAGCACCCCAACCTCAATTTGTAAGATGTTGGCATGCCAGGGGCAAACAGTGGGAGAGCCACGAGAGGCCCAATGCTGCTTGTGGCAGTGCGCCCCCGGCAACTTCCCTGAGACACGCATGCCAAAGAAAATGCCTTTGAGTGCCATACTCTGGCATGCATGCTGGGGGTTGCCTACCCCTGATTTAAATAGCGATTTTTGCATTTGTCCATCTTTCCTCTTGACTCCACTCTATTAACTCCTTTGTGATACAGTACTTCACTTTGTTAAACACAGCTTTCCCTATGTGTGTAGTTCAGGCAGACAGTATCATTGTTCTGTATGAATTCTAATACCTTTTATCATGTATGTAATAGCTTTAGACTTATTGAACTATTGAGACACATTTTCAATAAACAATGCTAACATTTGTGGGTAGTTATGACTCATAAAGATGCTTTTGCACACAGTTGATTTAGCTATACAGTTTACAACGAAGACATAATTAACACTGCCAAAACATCTTTGTTTCACAAGAAAAAGCCAACAGATTCTCTGAATGTGAGAGTCGTAAATGAAACCTTGTCTGTGATATATTTTATCAAACGTATCTTGTACATTTGAAATGGGCAGTATAAGCGTTGCATTTATTTTCTTTCTAGGTGATCAGATATCTTTAATAATATCAGCTGTAGCAAAGAACATTCTTCACTCTTAATCCAAAATCAATTTACCACTCTAAAATTGTACCCTAATATTAGATATATAAAATTGTTAACTTATTAAAACACATATATATTCTTATTGGATATATAGAAATTCATACTTATTTTAATGACAGATTTATTTTAGTGACTTTAGTTATCATTGAAAAGCCAACACAGTTGGAAGGAAGGGAGTTAGTTCTTTGGCATCACCAAAAAAATTGTGAAATAAGTTCCAGTCTGTTCCGTCTGTACTAACCCCCTGAAGGAAAATTCAGTTCCAAGTGTGTAACAGAGAGTCTGATTACACCATTGTAACAGTTTTGAAGTTAGAATGAAATACCTTATTTTTAAGATGAGCTGGGGCATCCCATGGTTCAGAACTGCCATTTCAAGTTCTCTAAGGATTTAAACAGACACCTTGGCTTTGGTTACATTTTGTGTACATTTTCAAAGTTTCTAATTGTTTCTTTTACTTTTGGTATCTAGTTCTAAGAAAATGTTGTAATTATTTGAAAATACGAACTAAATGTAACAAAGTACAAGACATTTGTTTGGAAATTTGAGCTGCTGCATTCATCTGAATGGGTGTTAACTCCAGTAACCGTAATAACTTATGTTGACATGATTGATCACTTTACCGCTGATCCACAGAAATTAAATAACAAAGGAAAATGAGGACCAGATTACCATAACCTCCTCAACTGGCTGTAAGGATTAAATTACTTTGATTCCATGAGTGGTTATTTTTGAGACATAGCGGGTGCATCTACACGTGCTTAACTGTGCAGTAAACTAATTTGCTGTGGTGTAAATCATCATAGTCTAAATACATGGCGCTGTTAGACCTCAGCAATCTAATTTTCACCACTGTAAGATAGGACTATCTTACTGCAGTGAAAATAACTGTCAATCACATGTGTACACGCTGACCTAGGCACACGTTGCATCCAGCCAGCCCAGGGAGCAGGGGGCCAGACCCTTGCCTGCCACCTAGCCAAAAGGCTTTGTATGCTGGGGCAGTCTTGTGCCCCAGCCAGCCCCAACACCACCTCCCAGAGTCCGGAGCTGACCTGCCATCCTGGAGCTGCTCCACCCCAGCTCAGACTGCTGTGGGTCCAGGCATATGCACCCTGGACCACCATAGTTGGAGCATCTACACATACCATTAAGGCGCCATGATAAACTTCAGCATAAACTGCACTGGAGTTTATCATGGCACCTTAATGGCACATGTAGATGAACCCAGCAGCAGTTACTTTTTAGACTGGTCCAGGAGGAACCAAGACTAGCACTGTATCTGAGTCATTCCAAGTCATTCAGGGAAGCCCATGAGTATATATGAATACCACTGACTCCAGCTTTTAAGAGCCCTACAGAATGAAGATTCAGTTTTGAACATGTATACAAGCTGTTGAGAACTGCAGCTCATTTTATTGTTTCAGAGGTGTAGGGAATTCCTATTGGGTAGAGCCCAGAATAATAGAAATATCTTTCCTTTTTAAAACTTTGACTCCTGAAGATGAGCACGTATATGCTGGAAGTCAGTGAGACGATAATATGCTATTCACAAGGCCATAGTTTTAGAGTATATTATCAAAACCATACCTTAAACTACAAAATCAAACAAAGCTCTGCTGTATAACTAAGGGTTTTTAGACTTCCTCAACATTTTTACCATAGTTTCAAATATTTCCTGCTTCTGCGTTCCTGCATCTTACTCCTTCAAAGCAGAAAAGAGTGCTCAAATGGACTGGAGACCACTGTTTATGATCTTTTTCTATTAGCTAGAGTAACTTAATAGCCTCAGTATCTGTTGGATACTGATTACTTTACCTTAGATCCTTGAAATTGCTTCATGCTGAGTTGGCCTGATCTTAATGGTAGCACTTCTTGGGACTGCAAGTCAACTCTTTTGTAGTTAAATCTTTCAAAGATTCAAAGATTTTGCAGATCAATATGAAGATATACAATTGCTGCTGTAATTTCCCCTTAATATGAAATTCACCTGTTAAAAGAAAAAAGAAGTAAAAAAGGAAAAGAAAATTGAAGGAAGAAAGGGCATGCCCAGTATGTCCTGAGAAGAAATTAGGAAGACAGAATACTACACAACTTCAGAGACAATAGAAAATAAAAAATTTATTCATATGTAATATCAGATGTATAGGCACCACAATAACTAAGCGTATCTCAGGGCTGGAAAGACTATTGCATCAGTAGGAAAATGTGTTGAAGCAAGGCAGGTAGCAAAGAATAGAGCTCTCAATTGTCATCCTCAGTATCTCCCTTCTCAAGGATCCCTAAATAAAATTAAAAAAGGAAAGCAAAAGAATCCCATACTGTCTGTTATGAAAGTTCATCTGATCCCTACAGGTGCGTCCTACCTCTCTTCTGCAAACCCACATCCCCCCCGCTACATCTCACCCTGCATGCCCAGCTGCAAGCCAGGATGGGACCTGCTGGCTGGAGCTGTGGCTGCAGGGGCAGCTGTCCCCACATC